TTCCCGTTCCCGTTCCCTTTCCCCCATTCCCCCATTCCCCGTTCCCGTTCCCGTTCCCCAGCACGCTCGCCGTCCCGCAGAGATGAACGTGAAGACGCTGAGCTTCGAGCAGTTCCTGCCCATGATGCAGACCATCGCCAAGAACAAGGACCAGGGCTGCTTCGAGGACTACGTGGAGGGGCTGAGGGTCTTCGACAAGGAGGGCAACGGCACCGTCATGGGCGCCGAGATCCGCCACGTGCTCGTCACGCTGGGTGAGCCGGGACCCCCGCCAGAACCGGGACCCTCACCAGCCCCGGGACCCCTGCCAGACCCCCCTGCCAACCCCGGGACCCCCCTGCCAGACCCCCCTGCCAGCCCCAGGACCCTGCCAGCCCTGAGCCCCCTCTGCCAGCCCCCAGACCCCCCGAGGTTGCCCCCAGCCCCCTTTGCCAGCCCCTGGAGCCCCGAGGTTTCCCCCAGAGCCCTGAGGTTGCCCCCAGAGCCCCGAGGTTGCCCCCAGCCCCCCCTGCCAGCCCCCGGCCCCCTTTGCCAGCCCCCTGAGATTGGGGGGTTCTGGTGCTCTGGGGGTCCCAGGGGTGCTGCCAGGGGGGGTCTGGGTGCCCTGAGGGTCCTGGAGGTACCTCAGGGGTCCCAGGGGTGGTGCCAGGGGTGCCCTGGTGGCACCAATCTGAGCCTTTGAGGACCCCCCAAAGCCCTGGGGACCCCCAGAGTGTCCCCCCCAGCCCCCCAGGGACCCCTGGAATGCCCCCCCAGCCCCCCCAGGGACCCCAGGGTGCCCCCCAGCCCCCCAGGGTGACGCGTGGGTGTCCCCCAGGTGAGAAGATGACGGAGGAGGAGGTGGAGCAGCTCGTGGCCGGCCACGAGGACAGCAACGGCTGCATCAACTACGAAGGTGAGGTCTGGGGTCCCGGGGGTCCCGGGGGTCCCGGGGGGGTCCCGGGGGGTCACCCACGCCCCCACTCCCCTCCCTGACCATCACGTCTCGTTCCTTCCCCCCAGCCTTTGTGCGACACATCTTGTCAGGGTGACGCCGCAGGGGTAACGCCTCCCCCCGCCCCCTCCTCAGTTACTTCCAATTTTTGGTTTTTTTGGTTTTTTTCCATTCCTTCCTTTTTTTTCTTCCTGCCCTGGTGTCTTTTTTTTTTT